TGAACCGCATCGCGTCTCAAAAAATGCACTGGCTGCTCTGCCCACCCACTCCCACTGAATATATTCTTTATAGAAGGGTCCCTCAGTAGACTCTGAAATGAATTTCAAATGAGCAGCAGGTGCAAACCCAACAGTTGAAGGAAGCTGGATCTTATAGCTCAGATACAGAAGAGAACAGGGGTTAAAAAATGGGGGCGCGGGGGGAAGATGCATCCCATTCCATTTGCTGGCCCTGGTTTTGCTTTCCTGCGTGACCATGTTTCTCACCCCAGGCTGCAGGAAGTCATTAAAAAATTAGCCTCTTACTCCTTGGAGTTACATATGCAGGCATTTTAAGCAAATTCTGTGTAAGATGTATTTTGCATGCTGACTTCTACACAAATGAAAACCGAATTACAAATTAGAACAACAAAAGTAGACAGTATTAAAATGTGCTTTTTGGTAGAAAATATATTTAAATATTATACATGTGGTTGCTTTGGGCTTTTTAAAGCCCTGTTTTCTTGAAATGGAATTATATTTAAAAACATGAGGCATACATTCAAAAAGTGCCCAAGTACCAGGTGAAACCAGTGTGTGTTACAAGATAAGATCTATGTAGAGGAAACACTGGACTGCTGCTTCAGTGAATAAACATGTCTTTACCCTCAGTGCATTTGTTTTTTCCCTGGATATTCTGTAGATAGAGAACAGCCGAACCTATTTAGAGCAAAAAGAAGCTGTTCTGTAAATTCTTACTGAATTTTAATTATCGAGATAAATTTCACTCCTTAATTACAGAATGCTGCATCCATACTGCTTAGCTCAGATAGCTGGAAACCTAAGGGTAATGATACCCATCCTAAGGCAAAAGCTTATTTTGGAAAATCAAAAATTTGATTGACTGTAGGTCATTTTTTTAATTTGTGCCCAGGGAATCACATCGCTGTAGGGACTTCCACAAAGACTTCACCAAGTTCTACTTAGAAAGGTATAGGAAACTTAGCCACATACTGAAAAAAAAAAAAAATCTAACGATCCTCACGTTTCCTCACGTGAAGAAGTGGTAACGTCATTGACTTTACGAGGCTGTAACTACGGTTAACAACATTTTTACTTTTCAGAATTTGTACTGCGGTACCATTTAGGAATTCCAGCCAAGAACTGAGCTTCGCCCTGTATGTATGTATGGTACAAGATGGGCTGTGCCTTAAACATCTTATAAATGGCGAGATGGAAAACTGAAGCCTAAAAACTTGGAACAAATCGAGGTTGTAAAACCTGCTCAGGCGTATCCACCAATGACCTCGATACTTAGGAAGAAACCACTGACATTTTGTTACCAGCATACATTTTGGGAACGTGCTATCCCAGTTCCACTTTCAGCCACTGAAAAGTCACCGCATTTAAAAATGTCACTCTGGTTCCGAGTTCAAAAATAACTCTGGTCACCTTGTCAAAACAGGGCGATATGATTCAAAGAATCCTAGAAGCAGAATGTCTATAGCTACTCCAAGTAGAAAACCCTGCAGTCTGAACCTTTTTGAAGAATAAAGGTTAAATTCATTAGAATTTCACACTGAATTTCCACAGCAAAATACGTATGTGTGCAGCATGTAACAAATATTTAACAAAGCAAGCATCTCTCACCCCTGATGTTTTCGCAGTAACGTGGTTCGTGAGTTCTACTGACACTACAAACAGAAGTATTGCAGGTTTGCACTGCTGTTCGGCGGGACGCAGACAGAACCCAGTCACTGGGAACACACCAAGCTCTGAGCATCTCAGCGTTCGCTTCATTTGCAAGCCCACTGGAATCAATAATTATTTAAGGGGAAGGGGCTTCAGATGGCCGTGCCAGAAAATCCCAGTACAGAAGAAGGATCACAGCCACTATCTGAGAATCATCAAATAGTCAGCTGGGAATAAACACCTGGGAACAAAAATCAAATCAAAGTTAAACCGTCAAGTTTACATTGCACAAAGTGTCACTAAAGTATTTGTACAGGAAAGTTATGAAAAGAAACCAACTACTTCCTTGATAGCTCTTGAGTTTGAGAAAGCAGCATGGAAAATACCTGCTTTTCAGGCCACGTTTGGAAAGAATTTTTAATGATTAAACTTCCCCCAATTCACTCCCCAAAAACCTTTGACAGATCATCAGTAGATAGACAGCTGTCTATGCACTACGAAATACTTACTCTGCTGCCTTCATTACTAGAGTAAATTGGAAATCCCAACATCCAGCTCAAATCTGCACCCTCCCAAGAACCTAAAATACTACCACAGTATATAAAATCACAATTTTTTCACTAGTAATATTACTAATTATTATCAATAGATAAAGAGGTCAATAACACATTCCTCTCTCACTAGCACAACTGAATCTTAAGAGAATGGGGATGATAATCTTTTGCTGTTGTCCAACAGCAGAGATTGATGCAATGACCTGATTTACAAAGTGTTCACAAACTGTGTACTGCACTTTCAATTCCTGAAAATTTTTGGTAACATGAACACAGATATTTTATGTTTTGTGTTGGTTTGTTCCTCTTTATGTGAGCTCACTATAGTTGAATCATTCACTGCATACTAATCCATTATTTTTATCATTATATCTATCGTACGCAGTAGATAGTAAATTACAACACTGCACAGAAGAAACACAATGGGAAGATAAATTCTTTGTAATTACAAATAAACTGCAATATTACGTCCCACAAAATCAAATTTCATGCCAGTAGTGCAGAAACACATCAGTACTGCTCTGGTACACAACTGGCATTTATACTTGTGTATTGTATTACCCTCCCCACCTAAGGCTTAGAAGGCAATCTTTCACTAAGCCAAGTCTTCCACATCCTGTAATTACATGATTTATTTGCATTCACTCTCTTTCAGGATGAAAAGGCCACTACTGCACCAGCAGCACAGGTGAGACAATGTCTACCTGAAGTTTACAGCTCAATCATTGTGATAAATTAGCATACGATGGTACATAATTTAACTATTTAAAGGTTGTATTGATTGTTACTACATTCATAAACTTGCCACTTAATGGTGAGTAATACTCAACAGCGTTAACTTGGCTACATGACAGACAACAATTAGTTCTATTCTCTCTATAAAAACTTCTGCAAAGACATCAGCGAGTAACATGACTTCATATTCCCAGAAGGCTGAATCCGCTACAATACACATTAAAACTCATGCCTGAATGGCAGCGTTCAAAGGAGAGAGTTGCTCAGCACACACAGTGCCTCTTCTGCATGAGTTTCATCTAGCCTGGAAGGCTGTCCCAGCAGCTTTTGCCCCAGGAACAGTTTCTCTCCCGCCTCAGGACATGCACCAGCCCACATGACGGCAACCAAGGGCGAAATGTCAGTGCGGGTTCTGAGAGCAGACAGGCAGCAAGGTCAGCTCTTCGTACGGAACTGCTGCTGCAGCAGAGCCCCGCTTCCCTGAAACTGGGCTTAGCTCCTGCCAAGGCTTTTGTTTTTCACTGAGAGCAGCTCAGTTGTTGAAAATAACTCCTATCAAAGCTATTCATTTGTCATCTGAAAGAATTCTGTAGTACGAGACATGGCAGCAGCCAGCAGGGAACCTGCCAGCCCTCCCTGCTGGAAGCCCACCACCAGCTGCTCGGGACTGCGGCTTCTTTTCTCCTTCCCCTCACAGCCGACGGCAGCAGGGGCTCAGTCCCAGCACCTCCGCACCGCAGACCCAGCACAAGCGCCCTCCAGCTTCAGCGCCTGCTGACACCCCAAGGTGCATCCACGGTTGGATTTCTGTGAGCTCTGCACCCTGCTACAAGTACAGTTGCTTCTCCCGCTGTCCTGTTCCCACTTATTTTTCAACCTTCCCAACTCCGCCTTTTCCAACCAGATCCCTCTATCCTGCACGAGGGAAAGGAGCGAGCAAACAAAAAGCTGCTCGGGGCATCACTGCGGCTAAAAGGAACTCAACTGTCCCGCCAGGACGGCCTCTAACTTTTCACTGACCCCTCACCTTTAAAGGCTGTTTTTCAGCGGGTGCATAAAACACGCTTCTTACTCTAACTGAAAAGCAAACATGATTTGATAGTTGGTTCTTTTGCACATTAAACTGTGGTGGAAATGGCACAACATTTAAGAAGGAAAACCTCTAGTAATTCCTAATGCAGGAATTTCAGGTAGTTGCTGAGGAAGTACCATAGAAAACATTTTATTTATCATTTACAAAATCTATTCTTGTTCCCAGATAACATAAAATCAAAAAAATAAAATCCAAACATTTAAAGTCTACAAAATTCTAGAAGTTCAGATTATTTTCACGCGAGCATTCTCATTTACAGTATATCATCACATGTGCTTTCACAGCTATTGAAAATAAAAACATCCCTTCCGTGACTTGAAACTAGCTCTTATTCGAGCATACAAGAGACACCATAAATTGGATTAAAGCAAACCTACACGACCTTAGAACCCATACGTCAAACTTACAAAGTTTAATTTAGCCAGTTCTCTGAGGACCAGAACTCCTATACATTATAAAGCTTTTTCCATGGGAGCCATTTATGTGAAAACAAACTGAAGAATAACTTTAAAGCTGATATAAAAATAAAAACATGGACCAAAGTTCATTTCTGATGTTATTCCCTTCATTTACACCATGGGTCAGCTTGGCCCGTGATCTGCAGAACATACTGTCATGATTCATCACAGTAAAACAACAAGCCACCAAAAACTTATTAAATGACTCAAATGAACTAGATGAACTAGGAAGCAGCTGTCAGATTTCAAATTAAAAGTACACTTTCCACCAGCATTAAATAAATTCAATCATCTTAAATGAACTTTGATTTAAAGTTCTCCAAGCACATTTATTTTTGTCAAGATCTAGCATAAGACGCAAACAAGAGCGAGCTATTGTAACGCCAGTATTACCTTATTCAAGCAGATTAACTCTTGCTAATAATTAAATTACACATCTGGCCTGCTGCACACTCCTAACAAGTTCTAATTAGCTATTTGGAAGTGTTCAGGGTGGTAGGTGAATATTCGCTGCGTGTAAGGATCGCTGTCCGCTGCCATTTTCTGTCCCGCGTAATGGTGGCAGCTCTCGGGGTGGAAGTGTTCGCAGTGAAGGCTCAGCCATTCTCGCTCCGAACTGTATCTCTCTGCTTCGGCGAGTATTCTGGTGAGAGCCATGATGTAGCTCAGAGCCATCTGAAGGGTCTCGTACTTGGACAGCTTCTTGTCTTGACCCCACTGCGGAACCACCTTTCTCAAGCGATCGAAGGCCGTGTTGAGCCCTTGCATCCGTCTCCTCTCCCTGGCGTTGGCGGCCAGTCTCCTCTTCGCGGCGTTCTCCATCCTTTCCGAGCCGCACTTCACAACGCAGCCTGGTCCACTCCTGCACTGCACGTCCGATTCTATGCCCAAATCCAAGGGACTGGATTTACAGGTTTTCATATTCAACGCAGCTTCAGCTTTGCACGTGCAAAGACGGCTTTT